ATTAGAAGGGCTTCTCATTGGTTTTCATCATCAGGGAAAATTTAGCTTCGCATTTTTAATTCGCTTTTGTGCTCGAATTAAAAAGGTTAAAGCGATTTTTAAGTCCTGACGTATTTATCAGTATGTAATTATGGTTTTTTTTACATTCGTCAATTCCTAAAATATATTATCTTCATGTCAAAAGAAGCAAAAGAAATGTAACGAAAAATGAAATTCCTCCAGAATTCCTGATATCTGTTTTGTTGTTATTGATACGCAGTAAACCTAAATCTGTTATTGCTGTTTTAATGACATTTTTTTTTCTTTAATTCGGACATAAGGATTTAGCGCCAGAATTGAAGGATTAACAATAAAAAGCAACATCATTTGCCGAACAATATTGAATGTTCTCTACTGTGCCTCGCAGAGTTCTTGAGTGTCGTCATAAAGTAATTTAATTGACCGGTTTCCCAATGCGACTCAAGCCTCAGTTCACAGGCCTCTTAACACAATTTTAGTGCACAAAACTCATTTCCGGAATAGCAGCACTAGATTTGTTGCCATCTTTTTTTATTTTTACTCTGGACTGCATCAACCTCTGATATACGGGCCTTTCCCTGGCATAAACTAATGTCAGACCAGCTTGAAGCTTTCCCTCTCTCACTTTGTTGTGTATCTCCTCAACCTTGGTTTTTTTTATCTACATGAAATATACGATGTTGTTAAACATCAAAATCGTTATGAAAGGGGCACCAACTTAACATTTGACACCATCAGTCAAGTGATAGATACTTTCTAATATCTAAAAGTGATTCTTGATAAGTGATTTAAGACGTGACAGTTTTTGGCATTTTATCATAATTAGTATATTGATATTTCTAGAGCATATTTAATACATTTGTGAAGCATAAGAACTATGTCCACAATGATCCCTACTTATGAGAACTTTAACAATCGCGTAACATATATATGAAACCTTTTTAGCTGACATGAAAGTTTTTACTCCACCCCAAGTTACGAGTTAACCCAGGTTGAATCCCCACGATGGTTAATCCTCTTGCAGTCAAATGGTTTTTGGGCGTTTACCTGAAAAAAGGCAACGAACCCAGGTCAGCCCTCCTCGACGAGTGACCGTTGTTGAAACTTGTTGACCGGGCTTAGAGGGGCGAAATCTCATCAATTCCTTTCTGGTAAACTGAGTCCCAAGAACTCAGTTATCCATGTTTTCTTTGTTTTCATTTTTGTGTCTGTTTTTTTTGTTCATCACGATCCCATCATTCCAAGAGAAAATCATAGGACCATTATTTTCCTTTAGTCATTCTCGTTACCTTTTTAATTTTCTCGTGACCTTTACAACCGGAAGAAAGGCAGACCCACGTCAGACTCGAGGCTAACTGCATGGCCACGGAGTATGACTTTCTAAGTTTGCGTTTATAAAAAGTTTATACTTTTAAAAGTCTTTTAGGATGATGTATCCCGAGGTTGTAAATCAATCCAAGGTCGCGAATAGAACTGAGTCTTCTAAGGACGTGTCTTGCAAACAACAATGTCAACAATTCGCTCAGAGCTCCCCTAGTCTTGCAATGCACCTGCTGGAGTTTTCCTCTTTCTTTTATGCCGTGTGAAAACTGTAGCTCATTGGTAAAATCACTGGGAGTACACATGGGAACGAATTTTCGCCGTCGTTGTTTTCAAGACACATCCTTAAAAGGCCTTTTTTCTACCAAACAATGTCACTCACGCGCCCCATGCTCTCATGGACAAGGTGTGTTTTAACATTTTTGCCAGAAAAGACAAGCCAAAACACAAAAATTGTTTAGTCTTTGAACGGAAAATCGCTTATTCAGTGGTTTAACAAGGTAGGGACAATTTCTTGACGACTGTTGTTATCGAAACAGACCACCTACTATGATATCATGCACCACCTACGGAAACGCGTGGCATGGATAACTACTAACTCTCTGAAATGCTATTATTTACTTCATTCACTCAAGTGAATAACTCACAATCGTTACATTGTACACATATGACCAATTTCCTTTTGTTACACTGAATAAATTTAAAAGAATCGTCAAGAAAATGTCATCCATCTGGTATTTTATCTACTTAAGGTCGGTGGAAAGACAACCGGCTTTGCGTAATATCAACTACAGCATAGTGTTGTAGTTTTCGTGCATGTGGAGAACCAGATCAGGATCTATTAGCAAAGCACACACTGACTTCTTGTTCTGGCAAGATTATTAGGGTAAATTATTTAGATATAGAGGGTGGTTATTTCAAAAATGGCAGCGAAGTTTGGTTTGAAAGGACTTAATGGAAGTTATTTATTTTTCCCACTCTGTATTCTATGGCAAGGTCTGTGCCAGCTTTCTAGCATCATAGACTGAAATCGAAACTACTGATGTTCTACAGCATTGTTTCAAAACGAGAGAGAGAAAAAAATACTGATAAGATCCTCTAGAATTTTTACTTCTTCTTTGAAACGCAGGACGAACATTTGGATTTCGTTAAATGCGAACTGATGACTAATGAGTGATTTTAATCACTTAGTATCTATCATTTTCAAACAGGAAGCCAGACAAATAACGTTAGTTCCTATGTTAATAAAAGCCTGATATGAGCTTTCACAGGCAGTATGAACAATATTTTTGTTGGGAATGATCTCCTTTTTCCCAACCTTAAAAATCTCAATGTTACAAAAGAATAAGGAACTGTCAAACATCACAGACCTTATCCCCGCCTCCACATATCTTAAGCGTGCCTGCGAATTATATCAATGTACAGAAACCACTCGGCTAGCCTCGCGGACATAGTTTGCACTGCTTTCGCGGCAGTTTCTCTCTGATTTCTCATTAGCACTAAATGAATTAAATCATTACCATGCTGCTCTTTCATCATTTTCTCGTCAGATACGGTGTAGGGAAGTGGCGATGAGCGCTGTCGTGGTTCTGTAGCATTGACATCATGTGATAGTGGGCTTGTTTTGGAGACTTTACTGTGCTTCTTTGGGTTGTCTGCTTTAAGTTTCGAGTGAGTCCCTAGACTAGCTGCAGGAAGACACCTTTTTTACTTACCTCATAATTCAACCAATTTGAATTGATTTATATTCAGACAAAGCCAATAATGTGGGAAAACTTTACATGATAATAACCAACTGCTGAAAATTACCATATTAAACCAAGGGTACGACGGGTCCTGGCAGTTCACTTTAAAAAACGTCGTGACATGGTTGGTTACTGTGATCTTCAGACCGACCTTATAGCTGAACACCGATATGAACCGCGATATCTTTCCATTCATAAACAAAAATTGTGATTGATAAATCATTTTGACAGATATTATATGGGAAAAATCCAAACTGATCAAAATTCATGCAAATTGATTTATTTTGGTCATCTAAGCGAACATTAATAAAAACAGCTAAGATTCAAAGCATTTCAAGGGCAAAGGAAAAATTGCAATGACACTGTCTATTGAATAGACCCTCATGTCAACTGTCCTGTGGTAGTGCCACCGAGGAGTTTTCAACCAATTCACCCGGGTTTCCTTGTGATCCTCGGAAAAATCTAAGGCCGATATCCCTCAGCTTCAAGCTTGGACATTGTTTGATGTTTTTATCTCTCACCGATTCTTCTGGATGTCCAGACCGGCAGTTGACGATCTTCAAATGCGGTCTTCATACTTTTTCAGTTTTTTGTCTTTTCAACTGACGTATATAGCCACTTGCAGTGTCACCTTTTCTGTCTTTCTCTCATGATTCCCATGAGCTGAACAAACTAAACATGCAAGATTTCATTTAAATTTGATACAACTTATGTTCTGGGGAGTTGATTCCGTTCTGATGTAGTCAGTTTTCTTCGGCCATTCACACGGCGAAATCTTACTTAAAGGTGCTAAGTAGCTGAAGAGCACCAAATCATCTCAATGCGAGGCTATTAAAATGTCTAAACAACTATATAATTTCAAGATTTTATTTGTTAAGAAAAGGGTGAGAAAGGGTTGACACAAGTGTAAAGCAAACGAGGAGTCCGGGACAGTAACACAACAGTTTTTGCGAGTAAAACTTTAAAATTCTGCTGCCAGCGACATTCTCAAATTGCTTCTTTTTCAAATGTACAAAAAAAACAACAACAACAAAAAAAGACCTCAACTTCGTGGAGGCAGATTACCGTATCTACGAGGTGTTCACAGCACACTCGAACTCGAACTGATCTTCTATCGGTTTTCATTACTTTAATTTCTTTCCGCGTCATCCCATTCTTCGCCATGAAAATAATGCTTAAAACACTGGAGCGTGGAATTACCATGATAAAGCTTTCAATTTGACCAAGTAAAAATGTGAGAACCAAACATATTAACGAGAACAACAAGGGAGACTAAGTGTTGCTAAGCAATCCACCAGGTTGCCGGATGAAATTTGGACAAGGTACCTTATGTTCTTTAGATTCAAACAGGCAGCCTCACTCAGTTGCCTTATCAAAGATCAAACTTCCACATAAAAATTCATAAGATCACGCTTTCTTGTTCTCTAATTTCCAAACAATGTCATCTCTTGAGTACAATTCTTATCATCTATTCTCGTCATCGACTATCGACTCAAACCATTTCCTCGTTTGACTGGTCATATATATTTTGCCCTGTCTTTTTGTTGGAAACGTTTATAGCTTTGTGATCACGAAAGAGTACTCAGTTCGCTAATGGCATTGTATGTTATTTGCAAAGGGAGATGAGATGACTAGTCAGTTCTCAAATCACCATAGATGTGCCTCATCTTACAATTAGGGCACAATTTTTTTGAAATGTTCGTAAATTCAAGCCAGTAGAGTGTAAGAATTTCTCGAAAAAGCTCCGTAGAAAGGTTCTTGAAGGCTTAAATTGTATTTGCTCCACGCTTGTTGTTATCCAATCAAATCTTTCCAAACATAACTACATGTAAATTATCGGGTGGTCACGTGAACAAAACAATTCTCTTCTCAGACTCCCTCAGTAACTCTTGTCCTGTCGTTTCAACGAAGGTGCAGCTAAATTCTTCACGATAATTTTGTTGTTGTGAAATAGCCAGAGGAATAGATACGATGTTAAAAACGAAAAGAAAGACTTTCTGACGACACACTTCGACTATTTCACCTTTCTGCCGCCCAGAGCATGAATGATGGTCGAGGACTGTCCACTTGTTTTGGTAGTTCGTGAACCCGAAAAGTTTTAGAATTGGTTGCTACGGTCCTTAGTAATTTTCTCCGCGTAGTGTTAAAAGAATTTTCATGAAAGGGCCCATGTTACCTTTCCGTAAAAAATTAGTTCGGCCGTTGAATCTACTTTTCAATTGGTGATCATGTCAGCGCATACTGACTCTGCTACTTTCAACAGAAGGTCTTCGACACCATCCAGACGAGCTTGGGAAGAAACAGGAGAGAAACCACCGGCAGGCGACTCACAGAACGATCTTAACAAAAATGTAGCGGACGGGAATAAGTCTGTACGTCAAGAAAGAACTGGAAGTGAAGGACAGAAGACAATGACAAGCATGGAGAGCAACGGATCAACCGAAGTTCGACTTCGGTCTGTGGAAGTTGGTGTCGAGGAAAACGCGAACATCAAAACGAGTAAAGGTGAAATCGCTCAAAAAGATAATACGACGAACGGATTTCCAGACGTGAACGTTAAAAATGGAAAAAAAAATGGTGCAAAAGATCCCGAGGCTTTGAAAGGTGATCATGTATGCGAGGATTCCTGTTGTGGTGACTGGACGTTGTTTACGCGGGTTTTCAAATCGAAGAGATTCGAATCGGAAAAGCTCGAGGGCCTCTATCAACGTTATGTGTTTCGCCTGAACCAAAAGTTTATGAGCTGGCTTATTGGACTGCTACTTATCTTAACATTCATTCTCATAGGTTTACAGTTCGGTATGGAAAATAAGATGCCTCCAGAGACTAATGCCGAAGGCATTACTTTATGTATATTTGCCGTTGCCTACATCTTGCTGGCTTTAATTGTGAATAGAAGTGGTTCCTCACAGAGCAATTTAAATTGGGTATCTTATATTTTACTCGCCATATCTTGTGGATTTGTTCTAGCTTCAGTTGTTTGTCCTCCTTCAAAGGATGTAGAACCAAGCCACCCTAAAAGCCTTTATTCGCCATCAGATGGCGTATGGCTAACAACTTTCTTCGTCTATATGACTTACACCATGTTGCCAGTTAGGATGAGAATCGCCGTCTTCGGTGGCTGCCTTCTTCCTGCGATACATCTCATATCAAGCGCTGCGATGAATAATAAAGATCCAAACCTTTCAAGATTGGTAAGCATGATTTTTGTATCTTTATTGTTTACTTTCTTGTTTGTAATTACGGGTTTCATGATTTGTGGAGTGCCTTGCTATCTAGCAGCTTCCCGAACATGTCTCATTGCATAAATAATTTATGAGTAATGTTTACATTGCGAGGAAAACTTGATGTTTGAACTTGTGGAAATGTATTTTTTTAAGAGCAGATTTCTATACCACCACGTCTTCATAAAATTTTGTACCAGTACGATTTAGTTCTAACCACATCTTTCCCTTCTATCACATACCGCGGACTTAAAAATTCTTAAACGGATTCCAATTCTCTCGCATTTCTTACTTCAAGTGCAGGTGAAATAGCCACATATTTTAATTACTATAAACAGCTGGTTAAGGTCGTAAAGAACACGCGCCTCTTTTTTCCATTGGTGCGTTCATTGAAATCAAGGTGTTAATCTACTAATAAAAGCGTTTGATTAAAATAAAGGAAATAAAATAAAAACGACCCCAAACGATTCCTTTATGGTTATAGAAGTGGTCAGGATAGAAGGTAATTCAAGCACTGTTATTTCTATTTCTTTGTGTTGTTGAGAATTTGCCTTTGGATTAGCCTTGCTCGCACTTGTAAAGAAACAATATCAAACATTAACCTGAGACTTTAGAATTCTTTTTGATGTTACGGTTTACCTGTTCACAGGGAAGGTAAAGAACATGTCGGAGCTTTTTTTCACAGTAAGTTATTAGTGAACCAGGCTCATTGTCTGGAATACTGATTTCTTACTGTTCCAATATTGCTTTTATTATTATTATTGCTATCTCAATAAGGTGGTGATACTAACTACTTAGTAACTTATAGTAAAGTAATAATGAACACATGAACAGCTTAAATACACTGTAATTTGAGCATGAATAAATAGTTTTATCACAATTGTGTCTAATCTGCCAGATAATTGCCAGCTACCCAAAACTAAGAATGAACAGCATTAAAAAATAAGGACCAAGTATTTTGAGATCAAAGTTTGATTAAAAGAAAGGCAATTATTGTTGCTTAGAAGCAAAAGTTGTCAGACTTTCTTGCCTTTAGGAGACCTGCACAATAGATTTGCTACATTCTAATTATTGTTTTCTGGACTTCAAGGCCAGGAAATTGATGGCATTGTGTTGAAATTCCTGAAAGATGCAAGATTTGAAAACAAAGTTTTTTACAGAACAGTAATTGACAAACAGACCAATAGTTAAGAACAATACATGAGGGTTGAAATAATTCTTCAAATGTGGCAGAGCCTCACCTGATGTCAGCAAGTTCAGTGTTCGTTTCCACTCATAATTGATAGCTTGTTTGGGAATCAAAATATTGATGATTCCAAAGCTAATTTTGTTGCTATCAAGAATTAAACATCCAGAGTTTTCTAAATCAAGTATTCTTTAGCATATTATCCATTTCATTTTGAGCTTCAGAAGGTTTATTTACATTTGGAACAGAAGAGAAAACAAAGGTTTTGAAATTCAGAGCTTAAGTAGTGGGGAACCATGCAGCAAAATACAATTGCACACCACAGAGGTTTATACTGTGATGGCTCAATAGGAAAAACATAGGATGAGCAAGTCCTCTTTTATGATCATATATAGTATCAGAAGCATAGGAGTGAAATGCTTCAGATGATAAAACTAAAGGATGTTACAAGGTCACATGTCAATAAATTCATACCCACATGGGAACAGTTAATGTTCTTTTTATCACTTGGAGACATTTTTAAATGCATTTGAGGAGCAAAAGTGCAATGATCAGATATAATTTATTGCAGAAGGGCTGTTTTAACATCAGAATAAAATATATATACAAATGAAAAAAAAAAGACTGCAGGAAAAAAGGGCAGATTACTGATGTTAGATCCTAGAAGTGAAAAGGTTGTAAAAACTTTTAAGGAAAAGTAAAACTGGTCACCATGATAACAATATTATCTTTGTATAGGAAGATTTAAATGGTACCCTATTACATGAAATTTTCTGACTTGGTACAATTCATGTACTGAAGTTAACTATTTTTATGGATCAAAATTCTCTTTTGCTTCTGAAAAATGAAAAAAAAAAAAAAAAAAAAACTGGCAAGAGTAAATCAGTGATAAGAACTTCAGGACATTTCCTTAGACCAATGGCGTGGTGGATTCACATCCTCCAGATAGGTTTTTTTGAGTGTTTGAAAAAATTTTCAGAAACCCCCTTTATTATTTTTGGCTTGAACATTACCATCAATGTTAACTTATGAGTCTTATTTCAGAGAGGTGAGGTCTCAATGTTTCCAGGCAGTCCTAGAGCTCCAAAAAAAAAGATAAAACATTCTTGGGAGTTGGAATTTCCAAACATAACTGCATGTTCATTGCTACCTTATGTATTTTTTAAAAAAGTTTACCTGATTAAAATCAGAATCTTACTTGAAAATCTTTTTGTTCACAGCTTGTTGGCAATCTGCTCATATTTGTATGTGCCAATATAACGGGGGTCTTTACGAAGTATCCAACAGAGATTTCACAACGCCGGGCTTTCCTAGAAACTAGGCGATGTATAGAGTCAAGGTTGACCATCATGAAAGAGAACCAGAACCAGGTACTGTTTGATATAATATAATTTAAACTTGAATATTTTTTACTCTGGCAAATGAAAAATGTAACCTGGAAAACCTATGTTATGTGCCCCATGTTATTTGACTGGTTATAACTGATGTGTTTCAACCTGTACATGTGTTATTCCATGTCCACAACCAGTCTCCAGAAAAAAGGGTGTTCTAGGTCAGAGGCGAAGGATATAAATGTGGTGTATTTTACAATATAAAAAATGGAGCTTGGTGTGAGCATTAGTAATGATGTTTTTCATCATTTATTTATTTTTTTTTACTGTATTACTAATTAAAGGGACTGTTGAGAAGTGGGATCTACAACGTGATGCTTTGCTTTAATAGTATTCCCTTTAACTGAGTGTGTACATACAAAATAAGAATTAAAGAAAAAGGTGATATTATTCATGGAAGGAGACAGGCATACTCTGAGAAAGAGAACTTCTATTGCTCCCACCTAGCAGTCAAAACTACAACCTTGGAATTAGCACTTTGGATGCTCTGCCACTGAGCTATAGGAGACTAGTGGCAGGCTATAGATAAACAAGTTTCTATTGAGAGTTTGTTTGACAGAAAAAATGTTTTTAATAGAAAAGGAAATGGGGTTACAGAAAAAAACTTAATAAATTTTTAATTGCTAACAGAGAATATTTTGAAAGCTAAAAAAAAAAAAAAGCAAAAAAAATTCAAAAGTTCGTCTTAACTCTCCAAAAAGGTTAAGAGTTAAATTCAGGTATTTCAAGAATTAGGCTGACAAAAGGGCCTCATAATATCCCAGTAAAAACAGAATTCAGGGGTCAAAAAACTGGAGAAATATGCCTCTCAGAGGCTGCCTGCTGAAATAAATTCTGCAAAATTGGTGTGTTCACTGATGTGCTCCCCTAGCTCACTATGGAGCAATAACATACCAGGGTAGGTGAACATCAGTAACAGATGAATTCAGATCTAATGTTTTAATTTTTAATTTATCTTCCCTGCTATATTATTAGACTCACAAACATTCCTTTCAATGTAGGAGCGTCTATTGCTTTCTGTTTTACCAAGATTTGTGGCTATGGAAATGAAAGCAGATATAGAAAGTGGGGCATCAGAAACAATGCAGTTCCACAAAATTTACATTCAAAGACATGAAAATGTCAGGTTTGTAACAGTAATGGTTCAATACACAAGTAAGGAAATCAACAGTGTGGAAATAGGAAACATCACCCTTCATTTCTTTTACAATCACTTATACATTGACTGAGACTTGGTGGGTTTTTTAGTGGTTAAGTCAATGAAAAACTTGTCATCCTTGAGGGATCTCAGCAAAGAGCTTGACCAAACTGGTGTTATGTTGCTCAAAATATTTCATTTTTTGTTTCCTTTGGCTTTCCACAGCAATTTTATATGTTCTTTGCAATGGCTCTTTAGTGAGTAAAACAATTTCTATAGTACACAATATAGAGGCTGTGATTATATGCAGACAATCTCCCTGGCTGTGATTATGTGCAGACCCTCATTTAGAGGGTAACATGGAATTAATTACTACTTTTCTTGCACTTTACCATGTTGCACATGTAAGTCATTCAGGCTAGATCATGTCAAAGTTTAAGAGTGTCAATTCAAGGTGGGGGTTTAAACATGTGCAGCAGTTGCCTCAAGTTTTTTGTTGTCTTTCATTTCAGTATATTATTTGCTGATATTGAAGGATTCACCATGCTTTCATCTCAGTGCACAGCTCAGAAGTTGGTTCAATATCTCAATGAATTATTTGCCAGCTTTGATATGCTTGCTGTGGTATGAACTTTCCTTTCTTCTGAAATCTTTTTTTAATATCTTAGCAATTCCGCAAATCATTTCTATTTTAGTTATATATTAAGTTATGTGATATTGGATGCATAAATTGTTTTAACTTGAATTCTACCACATTCCTCACATGAATTAAGTTTACTGAGAAATTAGAAAAGCTTCCAAAAACAATCTTGACTGACAAAATTTAAATGTTACAATGAGTCAATGATTTAAAACATTTCATAAGCTATTGCATAAAGAGGAAGTATGCCATTCTGACTGCCTAACACCTCAATTAATGGAGTAAACATGAGGGATATTCATCAAATTTTGCTACAATAGATCTTTTAATAATTCTTTTTAGTATTCATCAAACTTTTCAGCCATTCAGCCTCAATGCTAGGTCTAAATTTGTTTGCCTATGCTAATCAGTATTAAGGCTAGTGCCCTATTATTTGTGAAGGAAGCCAGTCAGCAGTTTAATCACGTTTTTTTCCCTTTCCAAGGAAAACCATTGCCTGAGGATCAAAATATTGGGAGACTGCTATTACTGTGTGTCTGGATTACCAGAGGCTCGCCCTGACCATGCTCATTGTTGTATAGAGATGGGCTTAGAAATGATTGATGCCATTGCGTAAGTTCTTTGTTTAGTTTGGTTTCCATCTTTTGTTGTTAAAGTGCCACTATGATAAAATTTGCATTTGTCCAATCCAAGCTGTGTGAAACAGTATCAAACACAAAGAGACAAATGTTGACTATTTTCAAATATCTCTCTGGCCTCAGAATTAATTAAGTTCTTGAAATGTGCAAACTAGAAAAGTGCTGATATTATAAACTTTGCCACACTAAGTCTTCTGGTAAAATACAAAAGCAGATATTTAGGCCAGTTTGCATGATAAATTTTGTTCGTGGTGGTAAGCTTGAACCAAATGTGTTTTATGACTCTCCCTGTTGGTTTAGGATTCCCCAGCCATCTGCTGGTGACACTTGATTGTAGTAATATTCGCTCATGAAGCACACTTCACTCCCGTGCATGATCTGAAGAGTTTAAAAAGTTGTCAAAGGTTGGAAAGGGTTTGTACAGCTCAGGAAAGAGTGTTTCTCTTTTGTAACTGGACCCTATCACACTACAAGTGTGCTTGGTGGAGAACCAGTACTTTAAAATTTTTAAGTCCCCCTCCCCTCTTCCAAAACATGCCCCTTCCAGAAATAACTGCCCATCTAATAGAAGCAGCCCTTCATAAATTGCCACAGTAAAGCCCCATGTGAGATAAGCCTTAACATTGAAGGAAACATGGCCTTCAATTGTGAGATCACTGGACATAAAGGTAAAAGAATGGGGAAAGGGGAGACTTCTTCCTTTTAAAATGGTATTGATTCAGAAACAAGGCCTTTCAGATGTACATGAGTTGGTTAAAGAGAAGCCCTCGGGTCTCAAGTGCAAAGTTAACGGCAAAGCTTTGGTGTAAGAATAATATTGCAATAAGTACATGATGATATATTGAAACTGTTGCTCTGGCCATATAGATCCAATGTGTAGCACCATCTTTTGATAGTAGTCAGCCTTGTTTCTGTGGTAGTTACTGTAAATACCTTTATTAAAGGGAAATACTCATCAATTTCATGTCACAGGTCATCTTTTTCTGAAACAATTTTGAATTTCAAACATCTTGGAACAATCAGAAAGTAATGGCTTCCAGAAGTAACAGCTGCCTAAAAGTTGGCTGAATTAGAGAGAAACATTGACTGCCGCTTTTTTAATCAAATGATGTTTGACCAAGTCTCAATTGTCCAGCTAGCATATTGTATTCATGATGTTTTTATTATCATTTCTGTTGAGTATTGCTTTTGGTTGTTTTTTAGTATATTAATCAGTCTTCTGACATCTGCATAACACTGTCTCTGTGTGTGATTTCTTTTGGTTAGTCATATCCACCACTAACTCAATATTCTCATTAGATACTAGATTTTCATTAGGAAATGTTTATAGCCTCATTTCAGGTTAATATTAAGAAAGATTATCCTTATATTGCTATTAAGATGTTTAGTGTAGCTTGTATACTCAGTTATCTAATTTGCATGCACAATGATTCAAGATCTTCAGATACAGATATATGTAAATTTCTTTTATTATATCATTATGTTCTTCTCATATTTTTATATTTGTCATAATTATTATATTGCACTTATTATTACAGTTATTTTTATTCATTTTATGTAGGAGTGTACGTGAAGCAACTGGTGTCAACTTGAATATGAGAGTTGGCGTTCACATGGGAAAGGTTCACAGTGGGGTGTTGGGACTTGTCAAGTGGCAATATGATGTGTGGTCAGATGACGTAACAACTGCAAATCACATGGAGTCTGGAGGACTGCCAGGGTATTTCTCCTACTTTCTTAATTTGTCAACCCTTTACTCCTTATCATCGTTATGCATTAATTTTCTCTATACTGTTCTCCATACATTTCCTAAGGTGCTAACAAGGAGAATTTGTTTAATAATCAAGAGCTGCTTTAGTTGGTGATCATTTCCTTCATTCTCATGACCTTAATGTGTGATTCAGGGGTGATATTGTAAGGAGAAATTAGACGTCAGTCACTGTTGGGGTTAGGTTAATGCTGAATTATATTATTTCCCACTCTGTAGTTGAATGTACCAAAATCTGAAAGGGAATGGTGGAAGCCAGTTATTTAACTTAACAAGAAAGTGTTGCATATCCACCAGAGAGTGCTTAATTGAGGTTCACTGTCTTACTCAATGCTCAAATGAGGTCATTTAACAAAAAAAAAAATGACCAATACTGTCTTTATTTAGGGTAAATTTTTTAGGTCACTGACTATTTTAAACTGAAAATAGTTTTAAAAATCCTTGGAGTGATAGACATGGAACTACTTGTTTTGATCACAAAAAAAACATCCAGCAAAAGGTTTAGCTTCTTAGCTAAATGTTGTCATGGTGATATATATACCAATATTTTTTTGTTTAATACAGTGTACAAGAGGAAACATTGTCAGCAGCTATTTATTTGGTGGCAATGAAATTGTAGATTGAGAATAACACTCATTGCCTGAGAAAAAGAATTCTTTGAATTATATCACAAATTTGATGGAAGCATTTTCCATTCTGAAAAAAGTTATTTATATCAAAAAGTATTTACCCAGAGCTCAATGTGAATGGTACATCTGAAATATCCATTTTTTTGCCATTTGGGTTTTTGTATTTAAAAGTAGTTGCATATTTTGGGGCTGCTTATGGTTTTGGTTTGTTTCATCTATTTAGTGTTGCTCCCATTGTTATTTCTTGCCAGACGTGTTCATATAACAGACTCTGTACTGAATTGTTTAAGTGGGGATTATGAGGTTGAAGAAGGGCGAGGACAGGAACGGGATCCTTATCTAAAGCAGTACAATATTGAATCATACCTTATTGTAGCTGAACACCCAAGGGTAAGTCTGTCATACACTTTGTCAGTGTAAGATAGAAACTTTGACTACTTGCAGAATTTTCTAAATTGCTTCCTTTGTGTTATGATAAACAGAGAAGGAGAAAGAGATTTGGAAGGGTAGTTGTAAATGTTCTCAAGTTTAAAACACTGTCAGAAACCTAAAGCTGATTGCTTTTCAAGCAGCTTCATTAGCACTGCATTATGAAAGAGGAAGAACTTATCTTTAATATTAAATTAAAAGACCATTGTGTTTGTAAAATTTGACTAAATTTACATTTTATATTTTAGTCATCTGCTTCATAAACTGTTCTTTTATTGTATTGTATTAATTAGATAAATTTAATCCCAAGAATTGATTGCAAGGATTGTTCTAGTATCCCATAGAATACAAATTACATTTTAAAAAAGTGATAACTGAGTGTTTTGCAGGCATGCAAAAATAATGCTTGTCTACTACATGCTATGGTCTTCAATATGTATGCAAAAAAAAAAAAAAAAAAGATGCATTTGTCTGTGTTATTGGTCCCGTAATGGTTGTTGATGTTTGGGGAAAATGCTACTGACTAGGAGAGGTACCGGTGGTTTACTGCTTTTCCAGAATCTTTCACAGCTGCAAAGGATAATCATTCAACATTACTTAGCCATTTACTTTGAGTCTTTAAGTCTATAAAGTCTGTAGGGTAATAAATTAAGGATAGACTTTACAGGTATCCTTTGCCAAAAAAGTTGAAAAACTTTATTTTTAGTTACAAATAATAACAAAAAATTTTTATTTCCTCCCATATGACATACTTTTTTTACCTCAATGGAATGCACTTTCTTGGTCTTGCACTATGTAGAAGGTATGCAAATAAAAATATGTTACTCAGTCACATATATTACACATTTCACATACTCAAGTTTTGCTCTTACTTGTGACAGATACTAACAAAAAAGCAAGATGAAAATTGTATGCTGTTAAAAAGAGCTAATCTTATGTTCTGTTCAGGAGTAAATTGTTTCCTCTGGATATCGTTAAATTAAAAGTGGTTTACTCAAGAACTGGCAAAGAAAATTATCATAAACTTGAAGTGAAAACTTCAATGTCAGAGTGAGGCTTTGTGTGAATTTTTGGTCAGAAGTTTCACTTGTTTCAATTTTTGTGTGTTAATATCCCCTTAATCCAGTTCTCCCAAATGATTTTAAATTGAAGAAATTTAATTTTGATCATTACTAAGTGTAACAAGTATTCACCTAAGATTTGCTTTTAACACCCTCAGCGAAAAAATACTGCCTTAAAAGAAACTAAGCAAGATGATCAAGACAAGAAAATGCAGGCAAGGTAAGTTAAATTTAGTGTCTGTTGGTTTGAGAATAACTGAGCCTCAGAATTTTAATCACAATGGTTGAGGTGATTTTTCTCAAAACAATTTTTGTTTCTCTAATTCTTCTGGCAATTTGAGGAGCCAAAAACATTTTGTGGAAGTGCTTCTCAAAATCCAGATACCACAATATCTGATGTAAACTTTATTTTGTTTGACAGGCTAGGTATTACAGCTTCAAATCAGCAAGATCCAGAGGATGAAGTCAATGAATTTCTGGGAAGCTCTATTGATGCCCGCAGCATTGACAAGTAATTTTGTTTCATAATTTTGTGTAGAAATTATCATAGTTTTGAACTATTTTGAGTTATTTGACTTTACATGACTTTGTTTTAGGTTGCGCAAAGACTATGTGCGGCCAGTACTTCTCACATTTAAGGATCCAGACAAGGAAGAGCTTGTAAGTACAGAAAAGGCAACTTTTTTTTGCATGCAGAAAGGTGTTTGTTACATCTTTACTCAGAATATGAATTTCCCTCAGTCTTTGCCAAAACATCTTAGTCAAAAAAATAATTGAAGCAACCATTTCCTATAAGATTAGAATTTGAACCCATGTGATAAACGAAATATGACTTGTTACTTTTGGCATGAAGGTGATGAAGTTAAATACATGATATGACTGTTCAATGGAGACTATTTCTGATACCTTTCCTCAGCAGGCATCTCTGCATGGTTGTGTGATTGAGACTCCCTTTGGTGATTTTGGCAAAAAAAAATGATTGAATAGGCCATTTCTAAGTTATTGCAGTCTGGTATGAAATTACAGTGTGATGACCAGGCTATGTGCAAAGTTGCTTTCATTAGTACAAAGAATAATGAGCTGTGGTGGTGAAAATGATACTCATATTCAGTGTAGGAGAGTAAAATATTATTTTTCAGAGTTTTTGTTTGACCTCCTTGTGCAACGTAGCTTCAATTGCTTTTATGTCATCATTTAACCATTTTTTTCCTTTGATTGGTAAATTACAAATTTTAATTCTGCAAATTACAGATTTCTAGTTCATTTTGCAAACATATTTCAATTTTTTTTCTTTTTTTTTTCTTTACACAAATTACAGTAAGCACTCACTATAAATCAGCAAGAAAAAATATACATCCAAGTATTCAAAATTCTAGGTACTGGAAATTTGCTGTGACTTGTGTGTAATTTCCCTAACAGCTTTTTGCAGCCTTGGACAGAAGAGGCTAGTTGGATCTGCTTTTTCGCTGCAGCGTTCTTCCATAAAACAAACAGTGTGATCAAACAAATCAAACTGCAATTTTATTTCCTTTAATTGCTGCTATCACCTAAGTGTATACTTCTCTCCCACATACATTTTCACTCTTGCATTGAATTTCAAGAAATTTTCACTCATTTTCACACCACTGTGACAGCTCTTTATTCTTTACACAGATGAGAAAAACTTCACACTTAGCATAGTTCTATAATGTTGGTACCAGATCACTGAACTGCGGAAACTCAGAATTAGCCCATTACTGTATTTATCTGCAGAGAGGCTGCACCCCAAATGCTTAATTCATATTTGTGGAAATAGTTAGTGAATTGGGATTAGAGATCAAGTAGCTTTTGCAATAATTTTCATTAAGAAAAAAAAGTTTAAGAATATATAAAGCTGGCCTAGAAGAAAGTGTATGACCAAAGTCAAGCTGAAAACAGATGCATAGTTAAGGTCAAACTACATAACAAAATTGGAATCTCCTCAATTCTCAGAAATTTTTCCTGTGCCACTCTCTGTAACAAACAAAGACATTTTTTCTTGTTATGATTGCCACCTTCAAACATTCTTTGAGTCTACTTGATACTGGCATGTTGCCTCTCTGGGATCCTTTCTTGTAGAGTAAGTAATAGGGGTAATTCTAAGGCATGCTGTTTATGATATCCTGGAAGATGCTTTTGGTTTAATGATTTCACAGAAATGCTTTCCAATTTTACTAGCACATAATGAAAATTGATACCATATAACATAGGAGAAAAACTTGTGTCTGTCAGGTTGCAATGATGTGAATCAAATTGGAAGAAATCGTAGTTTATATATAAGTATGGTTTGGCTTATGAGAGAAATGAATGGAGCTTTGTATTTATTTGAAATGGACAGCAATGTAGGAGGGTATCACATTCATGTTGGCAGCTAAAAACTTTGAATTGGTTATTTCTTGTCAAGTAGTCCAGAAGTGTGACAAGTTTGTGAAAGTGACAAGTTTAATAAGAATAACTTGGCAGGGATGGAAAGGAAAGTGTCAAGCATTCACCATTGGCATTCTGTAGAATTGTGCCTTATTTTATGAAGAGCAGTGCTGAAATTTACTGTCAACTGAGTGGGAAAAGGAAGCACTCTGTTGGCCCACAAGTAGGAATGGCCATTCTTTGAAAGCTGCACTGAACTTCCCTTGGTGGTCTTCCTTACACAAGAATAGTAAACAAAAAGCTTGATGCCCTTATTTCGGCAGAAAGGACCAAGATTATTTGTAGATGTGAATGTAGTATTTTGTTGTGTTTGCTGTGATGATCACTGAGTTGATGCAAAAGCAATATTTGTTAATGTAAAACTCTGAGCTATCATGCATATTAATGAGGTGTAACTTTTGTCCCATTTATTGAAAAAAAACAAACAAAAAAACCTGTGGCCTATCCACTGGTAAATACAGTGCATCTTTCAAAGGTGAACCTTTTGTTCATATGACTATGCTTGCAACATAAACACTGCATGTTAATGTTAGCAAGGAAACAAAAATGGTATTTGTAACACTGATTGAGTGGATTCAAAAAGTATCTACAATAGTAGTTGCAAATATTAAAAATGTTCCATTTAGTGTAAAATACTAATATTGGAATACTAATAGTAAAATTAGTTTCAAGGTGCCATGCAAATCTCAGTGCAAAAGTACATTCCCTCTGTTACTGTTAATTACAAGCAGTGGAAAGTGCTTTCATTTTGAACAAGTCAGTGAAACTAACTAAACTCATAAGCCAAAATAAATGATTAAACTAGGCAGGTTGATCTTGTTTCAGTTACTCTTTTTCTCCTGATAGTTTTAAATTGTTATTTTCTGTTATTGCAGTATTCTCAAGAAAAGGATAGAATGTTCAAGTCTTACACTGCATGCATTCTTCTCCTCTTTGTCCTCATAGTTATGGTTCAGATTACAACCCTTCCAAGGTATGTATTCAAATAAATTAAACTGATAAAGTACATATAGGTTACATACATGTAATGTTACCACACATCTTTAAAACTTGTGAAGGAAACGCGAACTTACGATTTACACTGCATTTTTTTGGAATCCAAGTCGTCTAATTTTAGGGAGCCTATTAGATTAAAGCTCTCTTCCATTGCCATTTTTTCACTGTGTATTATGACCTCCTTCCTTGTCACTTTTTGAGAGTAGGTAGTAAATGTCACTTATTACAATTACATTTATACCTGGAAACTGCATTTCTGGGTAATACTTTGAGCTCTCTGAGAAAGTTTACCCACATGAGGTCCATTCTGTACAAAGATGTTGGCATGGCTGAATTGATACAATATTTTTTTTGTTTTGTTTGTTTGTTTGTTTGTTTGTTTTTTTTCTCACAGCCCTCACCCTTTTTATAAAGTGTTTTAACTCTTTCACCCCCAGGAGTGACCATTTCTCCTTACAATATATATTAACCCCAAATCATACATTCAGGTCATGAGAATAAAGGACATTGTCACCAACAAGAGAAGCTCTTAGGAGTTGTATAGGGAACTGTATGGAGAATATGCATACTGATGTTAGGGTGGAAAGGGTTTAAGCATGAATTACGGATTAAAATAAGAGACAGTAAGTCTATAGGATCTTTGAAGCTAACAGAGAATGTCTTTTATTAGTCCTTAAATGGGGTAAATCAAAGAGCTTTGGACCTCTGGTTTGCCTGTAAAACAAAATATTTCAGAAATTATCACAAAAAGGACTTGGTCTATGAACATAAATTTGCCTATTTGTAGTCTTTGGATAATCTCAACATATATCGTTGTTGGTTGTTTTTAGTTAATAATTGGGTAGGTATAATTCTAATTAAAATTTTTTTTTCCTATCCTTAGAACATATGTAACTATGGCTGTTTTCATAAGCACATTTCTTGTTGTTGGTGCCCTTTTCCTATTGGTTGTAGCTGAGAAGTGCCAGGTATGTTTAATTAAATTTTAGTCTACAATGTTTTCATAAAAAATCTCATTTCTGGTCCTTGTTTGTAGACATCTTTCCCTTTAATTTACCAGAATATACCAAGTGGTTTGAGGAGCATTTCAGCCAAACTTGCACAGTCTCAAACCAGTTGCAGAGTAGTAGCAACTGTATTGGTTCTGACTTTGTATATTGCTGCCATTGGAAATTTTGTAAGTACTTGAACCCATATTTATAGTTCAATGTTATTCCCAATTAAATCTTTACAAAGCAGTTTTATGTACTAATGTGAAGTACTTCATATGATGATGATAATCTGACCATGTGTTGTCGCTCAAGTGCAATTTTCTTTACCTAATGCCTTACACAACCGACCGCCCATTATAATGTCATTTGTAGTGAACTTTGAATTTTTGCAGTTTGTTTTTCTTTGATTGAGGGGCTCTTTGTTGGCAATACTAAGAGCTAATGTTTATTACAAAATTGGTGTGGTTAGATAGACACCTAACTTCTTAACTTTGAAGACGTAACAGAAGTGGTAAGTTTTGTGTGGTTTCATCACAGTTACAGATAAGATAAAATGAATTGTTATGTCTGTGATGTTCTTCTTCAGTTTGGCTGTGACTTAGGGAGAGAACTGATGGTAGGAAAATCTAGATGCAATGAATCTCATTTGTCTTATGTTGGGCTTCATCCTGATACAAAATTCTGTGACTACCCACAGGTAAGAGGGACAAAATAGCTTACATCACCAAAGATGATGTCTCAAATAAGTTATTAACCTCTGAAATTCATAAAGAACATTAAATAGCGCGTGATATATTGTGTTCATAGTACTATTAAGATGGCTGATAGCTGATTGTTAATAAAAGTGAAACTTGATACTGAAGTTGAGAGAAAGTTGTCTTTTAACTTGAAATAACCTCAGAGTGGTTGAAACTTTTTCAACTTTGTTAAATTGTCTCTTGGAGAAACTTCTTAAATGAAGATTTTACTGGTGAATATTTAAAAATATAATTTTGATACATTCATAATACCTTAGGAATGAATATGATTTGTTAAATTAATTATGTGTTCACTTTAACTACTATTTGTTGTTTTCTTTTTTCAGTACTTCACATTCAGTGTGATGTTAGTGATGATAGGCTGTGCAGTCTTCCTGCAGCTTAGTACAGTGCACAAGTTTTCAATGTTGGCAGCCATGTCAACTATCTTTATAGTCTTGATAAGAGTTGTCTTTACAGATCTTTTCAACAATCATGATAAGATCCATTATTGTTGGTGAGTACCAGTATAGCAGGAAGTTCTATTGTTTGAATTCATGTTGATCGCAGCATTTGAGGGACACCATGTTAAGCCACACATGTGCACTTACTTACCCTATTAACTTTGAGAACAACAGCAACCATGTTTTCGCTTTGAGAATACAGCGATGGAGCAAAAAATTACTGGTAATGGAGAAAAACTCAGCAAGCCAATGAGTCACACAAAGTAGTTCACTCAAATTGGTTTATTATGTAAATTATGTTGTTTCTTAGCCAAGTACTTAAGGCCCAGCCACTTGAATAGTCAACATGTAAAGTCATGATGTGCCCTGTCCAAGCATACTTGGAGCTTGCATAATGAGGAATTTTGTACACATCTGGACACCGTCTTAATTTCACCTATTTTAATTTCATTGGTGTTTTCACAAAAATCAGAAAATGCTCTCCAAGTGCCAAATTAGCCCATTTGTGCAGTTAAATAGTGAAGACTGTTAGCCCCTCAAAACGTTTTACTGATTAATAGGAATAGCCAACTAAGTTGTTTTTAGAGAATGAAATTATGGTTGCTTGTGAGTATGTCTCAAACAGTGATTTGAGATAATGGTCATTTGCATGTTTGCACCCACATTCCTGGCAAATTGCAATGAATTTGTTGCACTTATGCAGAAATTGTTGGTCACTTCAAAACAGTGATTTAAGGTATAGTGTAATGAATTTGTTGCACATATACAGAAATCGCTTGTCACTTCAAAGCATTTAGGTTGAAGCAGAAAAAAATTACCAATTACTTTATGACCAAAACTTAATTCAGACTCATTCAAGACCATAGGGCTTTTTCAATCAAAGCACATGCTAATTTCTTGCATGTATAAATCCAGGGAAATTAGTCATATGTGACCCCCTCATTTTACTACCAGAAAATCATGGAGCTTTTGCTCAAAGAGTTTTGAAAGTTCTTTTAATTCAGAGAAAATTGTAAATTGAACTGTGGTTGAAAGCAGTGAAAAAGTAAATGATTCCAATTATTTGAATATTTAAGAAAAAATTCTGTGATGGACAGGGTAGCCAAATTTTTTCCAATTCACTCTCGAAATATTCATACTATTGATGGGATATGTTTTTCCTCAGTTTTTCATTTAAAAGTGATAGATAATGGTCAGTTGGGCATATGGTTGGTATACTGTCAGTAGCATTCTCCAAATTTCAGAAAGTATCTTGAGGACAGTAGGTTCATTGTTAAATTCACATCTGCTGTGAGAACAGAAAAGTTAACAACAGGCAGGATATCCAATCAAATTTTGCCATATTTAAGACTTATTCAAGTTGGTATCTCAGTGGTATCATCACATGAAACTATGACATAAGTAAGGACACCATACAACTTGAGTTCATCTCACCTTGCTCCTGGTAAGAGTTTTTCTCCACCACTGTTCTGTTTTTCATGTTGTATGTTACTGAAAAGTCCCAAATATGATTTGGCATTAAATCTTTAATTTTAGGTTGTTACCTGAAGATCGAAGATCCACTGATGGATATATCAAGTGGATTGATCTTTCCATAGTAATTGTTGTGATGTTGACAATAGCTTTAACTGCACATGGATACTTGGTAAGGAAACAATGAGTTGCATTTCTTTACTTTTTTTTCTTCCTTTTTTTCATGCCCCCTATATTGTTTTTTTTTCTCTAAACCAACAGCATGAGGAAATATCTAGACTGGACTTCTTGTGGAAACTTCAGGTGAATTACAGGTTTTATGGTATTCATGATAATTATGAACCTAATGACTAAAGTCATTTAAAAATTAGCATCATATTGACACACTCTACAGGCAACCTTTAGAATGATTCATATCAATTTTTTTTCTGTGTTGTTCAAAGTATATATTTTGTATTATCCAGGCTACAGAGGAAAGGGAAGAAATGGAAAAACTCAGAGAGTACAATAAGAAATTGCTGTATAATATCCTGCCTGACCATGTTGCTCAGCATTTCCTTGCACAACAAGCTAAAAAGAATGATGTAAGTTTTTTTTTCAATCATATTATCAGGAATACAAAATATAACATGTACTTTAATGTTATATGACTATGGACAATGAATAATCAACTTGTTAGAGTTGAGTTTCAATATCTTCTTATGCCAAGGACAGGACTCCAAGCCCAATTTTTGAAAAAGTTACCTTTCAACTTCAGTTGTAGAAAGGTTGCCATAGAGAATTTTGCTCACCTTCCCTCTCCCCCCTCTAAAAAAAAGCAAAATAAAAACAAAACAAAACAAAATGAAACCCATATTGATTGGAGGATATTTCATTTTGGCTTCACGTAACTTATTTGGCGAGCTGAATAGTATGTGATTGTAACACTTTCATTTGTTAATCCCTTGCTGATCAAAAGATTGTAAGAAGGGTCAAGAGAGAGGGAAGGAAGAGACTCTGATAGTTGGAAGCAGAAACGATTCACTAAAATGTTGCTGAGACCAAGTAACAAGTCGTGTGTAATACAACTTCGGTTTATTGCTCAGTTGAGAAACATTTCTTGTTTTGGAGTGAGGTGAGAGGAATGAGAGACCCTCCAGGCATTACAAACTACTAATTTGTACCTTATCTGATTGAAACCAATTTCCTGTGCACTGTACCTTATGTGTTCTTTGTACCAGCCACCAGTTATACCAGTTTGTACCCAAAAGCATCTTTCAGGCTGTTTCAAGTTTCAGGCTGTTTGAAGTTTCAAGCTGTACTTCTGTTCTTAAATTAATTGATATTATGTTTCTGCTTGATTTCAGGAACTTTATTACCAGTCTTGTGATAAGGTCATTGTCATGTTTTCTAGTATCTGTAATTTTTCTGACTTCTACACTGAGCTAGATGCTAATGGTGAAGGAGTTGAGTGTTTACGCCTCCTTAATGAGATACTGGTGGATTTTGATGAGGTGAGTGTTTGATCTCAATAAATTTGCAGATGTGCTGAATTACCAGCTCCTGGTATCAAAGGTCTTTCTTTGTTACTCTTAGTAAATTCTTATGCTGGCAAACATGGCCTACATTTGTTGTTACTAATTTGACACCTGCCAGATGTCATGGGCTCTATAAGCTGACCATTCCTTAGCTGTAGAATTTAGAGTGTTCACATGCCAAATTATTACCTTAAAAAAATCAATTCAATATATATTGAAACTTCAAAAATTGATTGAAAGTTATCTGTTTGGTTTATTTCAGCTTCTTTCAGAGCAACGCTTCCAGTGTATAGAGAAGATTAAAACAATTGGTGAAACATACATGGCTGCCGCTGGAATTAAACCTGAATCTCAGGTTAGTATTGGGAATAAGAAGAACATAAATAGGTACAGCTGTATCCTTAATCTGTCAGAAATTTGTCTGTTAATTTTATCTGAACTTCTCCAGTTGTAAGATTTTTAGTGCACAGGAAAGTTATACTTAGAGAGTCCTGTTTTAACAAAGTTTTCAGGGGCCAATAACATGCCATGACTTTAACTTCCTTTTGAAAAGCAAAAAAAAAATTTGCTTAAGATCGCCACATAAGTAAATTCAGTTGATGTTCATTGAATTAATGAAGCAAATGAAAGTAACTTTGACTTATTAAAACAAATTTATGTTTTGATATTTATCCCTCTGTGTTTGTAGAAAGGTAGAAAGATTTCTGCAGGTACAGCCTAATATTTAGACCACCCAAAGTGTAAACAGATTCAATGCAAAACTCATTTGGTGAATTTGGGAAAATTGAACTGATGAACTGTGAAGTGTTTTAAAATTTATTTGTTCTTGTGACGCATATTTAAGTGTTTGGGATTGCAGAATTTCAGATGCTTTGTAGTTGCACTGATTTATAAATTTTATCCAAAATTCATGACTAGTTCTTTTCTAGGGAATGTTCGCACACATCATTCCAACTGAACACACCTCCTAATATTTAAGGATCCATTAAAATGTCTTGATTGATATACGGTTTCCAGGCTGGTGGGGACTACAATAAGCTACAAAAGTAGTTGAATTAAAGATTTCAAAAAAATAGAATGATGAAAGAAGAAAACATTAATTTTTCTCTCTTTACCCAAAATATTCTACTTGTTCTTCCTCTCCCCTTTAAGATAAAGTATTAGTCTAAACATTAAAAGACACAAAACTGTGTTGGTAGTAGGGATGAAATGAAGTTAGATCATCTGAGCATAAGAATACTGTATTTCACTGAAATAATTGGTTGTGAGAAACAGATAAGAAGAAAGTTCTTGTCACTAAGTTGATTATGTTGGAAGCACATTAAATAAAATGCAATAAATTATTGATGTTGATGTTATTTCTAATCACATGATTTTGAGTGCAATTTGGATTAAATAAGCATGAGTAAATTGTTTAAAAGACTAACAAAATCGTGCGAGCCCGAAGTGCGAGTGCAATTTGTGAAAAAATTAACAAGTGCTTATTTATTTCAGATAGCACAAGAAAAATCATGTGATTATGTGTTAATAATAGACATGAAAAAAATATGAGATAGCTTATCATAATTAAGCATAAGCTAAGTGCACACATCAAGTGAAAAAATAATTTATTCAAATCGTACTTTCAGTCAAAACAACCACGTATGATCAAAACAATAATATGCAATGATATCTTCACATCTTTAAGGTGCAAAAAAGTTCAAAGTCCAGCTAAACAGTTCAAAGAATTGTTCAGTCTGTGTCCAAATCACTTTTGATGAAATGGAATTGTTGTTTCTGAGGTTTAACCATGTTTATTTTTAATTTTGGTGTTGGATCGCTCAAGCAAAGTGTTAAGCTGGGTTGGTTCATAATTTCCTATTTCCTTGGCAATTCCCTCCTCTAAACACCACTTTTTCCAAACAACAACCAAAAACCAGTGCTTTTTACAGTGTTTTTGTTGTTTGAGCTATCTTTCAGCTGCAGTAGCCTAAAACACTGGCCATTTTTTCGTGCGCAAGTTTTCAAATTTTGTTGCAACATCCGAGGCTCACATTTGATAGGCTGTCTGTGAGTTTCTTTGATTAGTGACCAATCAGAATGGCTGATTTGTTACTTTCTTTGCACTGAATTACCTGAAACTGTTTTTATCTTAACCAATCAGAACTGAGTAATTATTTCATGTATATAATTAGCAAAGACATATCGAGACATTTTTCTGTTTGTTCTTACAGGAGAAATTGGCAACCCTAAGTCACATAGTAACAATGGCTGACTTTGCCATGGCAATGAAAAAGAAACTAGCTGACATAAATTTACATTCCTTCAATGACTTCAAGATGAAAATTGGTAAGTTTAAAGTTGCCATACGGTCAATAGATTCTCCTCTTAGATGTTAAATGGAGATTAATTTTATTTTGTTTTAAACCCCTCCCCTCTTATTGTATTGGTAATTAATATGTGGTAGTTGTCATTTCCAGTTGCATGTTCAGATCTCTTGCTTGCTTGATTTTTTTTTTTTTTTAAGCCAACTGTTAAGTTCACAGGTATACAGGAGACTCAAAGTTTCAAAATACTAAGTCTTAATATGCAAATTACATAACTGTAATAGTTATTACTAACATTCATTGCTGACACCACTTATGGAATTATGATATGATATGATATGGGTAGGACAGAAATTTAAATCCTGCTGCTGTTGAAATTGTCCAATTAGAGATCTACATTCCTGAAAGCGGTCACAAAATACATGCAGTGGAATTGTTTTCCTGACAGCTAGATTGATGATAATATCTTCCATAGAAGCTGACTGTTTACTTTGTGTCTGTTAGAATACTTATTGCAGTTATCCCCTTTGTAATAAGTATAGCTGACTTCAGCTGAAGTCACATACTAAAAGGTTCTAAGATGAAAATATAATAGCAGTTCTTACAGATTCAACCATTCCTATAGTGGATCCTCTTATCTTTTTTTCTAATATCAGTACCATTCCTACAGTTTCTGCTACCCCCACTTTTGCTGTAACTTTTACAGTCACAATTTACTAAATTGAAATGGACAAACCTTCAGATAAATGTATACCATATGAACTTTTGTTTCTATTTTTTTGCTCTTCAAGGTTTAAATTTTGGTCCTGTTGTGGCTGGAGTGATTGGTGCCCATAAGCCCCAGTATGACATCTGGGGTGATACAGTGAATGTGGCTAGCCGTATGTACAGCACTGGCAAGCCTAAGCATATACAGGTCTGCTACATGTACATTATTTCATTATTGTGTCTAATTGGTTCTGCTAAAATCACAATACTTTGATCTAAGTAAGTAATTTTTGCATGCCATGGAAATATGCAATACAAATTCATAAATTATAATTGGTTATTATATATTCAAAAGTTTACATCATCAGTAGGGTTTTATAATTTCAGCGTCTTGTTAAGAACAAATAGTCTTTGTTTTTGATGTTATGTAAAGATGCTACAACACCACACAATGTTGTTATGGTGTATAGTCAAAGGTAAAATGACTCATATTTAGCAGTAGCGCAGACTTGATCAGGTATTTCACTTTTGGGTGAATGCGATGTTTCCTCATTGAGGAGTGCTTGTAAGGTGTAAAGCACTTTTTCCACTGTTAAATGAACATGATTAGAACAGTCCTTAGTGCCCCAACCCTTATATTCAGTTGAATTGACTTATTTTGATTGTTACAGGTTACACAAAGTGTTTATAATATTCTCTCTACACGTGGTTACACCTTTGAATGTCGGGGCTTAGTGGCAGTTAAAGGAAAAGGCAAAATGGTCACATACTGGATGACTGGCAAAGAAGGAGACCAATCAAATGAGTGATCCACTAACAATTAATTACCCACCAATCGATTTGTTGTAAAGTAATATTTATCATCAAAGTTATTTGTATGATTAACCTTACAAAGTATCTTTTTGTAACATACTTATCCAGAGTCAGTCACTTCTTTTTGTCATATTTAAAGTGTATTAGATTCAAACTTCAACTTGTTTTTCATTCAGATTATTTAAGTTATTTTAGTTACTAATAACATGGGAACAGCATGTCCCTTTTGGGTAGCTGAAAGCATCTCCTTGACCTTCTTTTTCTTGGAAACCCTTTAAACTCAAAGAATTTGGAAGAGTACTGGAGGACTTTACAAACATGTTTTTCATCGGTTTAGTCGTATGAAAATGTGTGTGATCTCAGAAATGTTATCAGAAAGTAACAGCTTTCGTCAGTTTTGGGTAAATATCTGCCCGTTTCAATTTCACTTAGGACGTGGGTAATTTTGAGAATAAGGGTTGTGTGTGTTTTTTAAATGTAATGGTAAAATTTATCATGTACATGCAGTTCAAGATGTTCAACAACACTTAACACAATATAGACCCCTCTGCCTGTTTGTCTTCATTATTCTCTTCACTTTTTTTTTTACCCTGTGTCGTACGATTTATAGTACACTTCCTTGGCAGATAATGATGTTGACCTCTTTATTTTGATGCTTGTGTACATCATCAATATTACATCAGAGTGCTGAAAATAGACAGGTGGTCACTATAAAAGACTCTAGCACTGTGGCAACAACATTGTCACCATCTAATTGTGTGTTGTTCTGATACAAAATTATGAAAAGTCAAGAGGAAAAGCAAGTTAGTAACTGCTAAATTAACCTCATTTTCAGGAGAGAAAGTATTCTCAGGTTTCTTGCTGGTTGTCTCGGGTACTTTTTACAAGAACACTTGCATTGCTTTGTGTAAAGAAAAGAACTTAATTTATTTTGAATTATATCACTTAATTATTGAGAGTAGAGAGCTTGCTGAAATTTTGGGTGATTTCAGATGGCATAGATGTCATGCAGGAATCTGATACACAAATTCCTTAAAAGAAAGTTAATATATATAGTTAAATTATTAGTATCTGATTCTTATGAGATTTAATTAGGTAACTGAGAAAAAAAAACAAGCCACGAATTTTTGACTTTCCTCCAATATATTTCTTAGCATGTGTTAGGTGGGACGTTCATTTAACAATAGCATGCTGTGTACATTGCACATATGGAAAAAGTCATGCAAATCGCTGAGTCGTCGCGATTTTGCTTCAACCTATTAGACACATGGAAAGTCAGCGCCGCACTAGTAAGAGTAATTTTTTTTGATGGCCGGCTGTTGTTTCCATGTAACTAGCCAACGGGACGTTTCCTTTGGTTGGTTGGTTGGTTCGGTTGTTTCATTAAAGCTACGCAAAGTGCTAAATCAAAGTACTTGTATCTAACTAGTTTCGGGTGTAATTTTAGCCTTAACAAAGTAGAGCAAGTGTGGTTGTCAACATTCCATATCCTTGGACACGACAGCTATTAGTGCATTTTGAAAATCTGCTGCAAATGTGTAGCATGTTGAAAGAGATGAGGTGTTTGTAGGTTAGGTGGTTGTGTTAAATACATCAAGTAAAAATATAAGCGTAATTTTTAATATTTTAGATGATTAAAAGATATTAGTAGACTTGGCTGGTGGTTGGGAATTTTTAACTAAGTGATTTTAATAGAAATTAAATGAGCTTAAGAAAGTGACCATCGCACTACGTCTATGTAGAAATTCAATGGCTTTGATCTAATATATTGACAAGCAACATTCCCCTTTGTAAATATGTCGTGAAATAAAGTGTTTTTTCGGTCTCACTATGAGTATTATTTTCACTTAACCTGCTGGTTATTTATTGTTATCCTTAGTAATATCTGTGCTATCATCGTTGGATCTTTTCATCACTCAACCAACTTAGGCGAACGGCAGTTTTATTAGAAATCTGTGGGCAAAGGCTTCGATATCACCCAATTTAATTATTCTCGTATTGATTTTCAATTCAGTATTGATTAGTTAAGGTCAGGATATCACTCTTGTATCAAATACGGGTTAGATTTCAACATTTCACAATCGTCACTTAAGTAACCAAACTGATGTGACTACCCGCGTTTACTTAAACTGAACTGGGAAAGAGATCGTGCGGCTTCGTCCCAGCTGCTTCATTTACGTACATTTCGATATCGTAAGCTGGTGTTTGTAATTTAGCGGAAATACTGGTTTTTGCAACATAATGAAGAAAACATGAGCACCCTCAGATTGTAGTCAGCTTTTGTCTGAACGTTGAATGTTCAAATGTTATATCAAATAATCGTTTGTTAGATATTTGATATTAAAACAGATCTTGGTTGAAGATACTCACTTCACTGTAAGAGTGATTTACAGAGGGGTTCTCCCACCAAATTACAAAGTTTTTAATACTGAGAAATGAACAAGTAATCAGAATTATTTAAAAGAAGCAGTTTACACAGAATGTTATTAAAAGCGGGAATGGTGAATGGGAAAATAAAATGGGGAAATTGAGAATGGGACCTAAATTTTGTCATTATTTCTTTTTTTGCTTTAGATGCACTGATTATATCGAGGAATGGATATTTTCATAAAACGTTCAGGGAAAAATTCATGGAACGAAATAAGTTGAGGATAAGGAAAGAAGTGAGCTTCGAGGAACAGTTAATTTCCAAGTTATAATATACTAGCATATTTTCGCACAAAATAGAGGCTATTGTGTTCCTTATCCATCAAATATTTTGCAATGCGTGTGCAAACATGTTTACGAAAAGCTTGCTGTTTTCTGCGTGGGATGTTTGCAAAAATATTTGAAGGATAATAAACAAATTAGCCTCCATTTAACGCGGAAAATGCTCGTTCGCTCGCTCTTCAAGGACAAGATCACTGGTGTTTGTGAGAAACCTTTGGAAGTTCAGGAGTTGGCTGCACACTCGCCCCCAATATTCATGCAAATTACCAATTGAAACCTAATAGCCTCATTATCTGCTTGGCGCGTCTTAGGCCTGTTTACATGGAGGTAGGGGACCCCAGGTAACTGTAGTAACCCGCCCGTCCATATGTCTTATTTTATCTTGATCATGTTAACATAATAAGTGGAGTGACCTGCCTAGGCGGGTTGCCCGGTCTGCTGGGCAGGGTAACCCTGTTAGCCGGGGCGACAATTTGCCATGTAAACGTCTTATTTAGTATTTCGCCTAGCAGGGCTGGCGTTTATGTTACCAAAAGATCAAATTTATTTTGTTTATTACAATTTGGCAGAGAAAACTGACAGTGGTAAAATATGTAGGAAAAGTATTAATGAGTATGGTGCTAGGGAATGTTTATAAAAGGATCAGAGACCCCATAGGAGATAGACTACCCTTCTAAGATAATAATTACACTACAAAGAAAAGTATATAATTACACTACAATAGAAACGCTAATCTAAAAAATAATTAAATAAATAATATAAAATTACGATAATAAATAGGATTACAATAAAACATAATATGCGGCAGATTTCACCGGCTTCTGGTCAGAATATCCCTGACACTCATCTTAAAAATACCGATACAAGGTGCCTAACGAACTGAGTATGGCAGGGAATTCCACATGTCTACAATCATTTTAAAATAGCTATATTTAAAAGTATTAGTTCTTTAGTGTTCAGTCATCTTTTCTTCGTAGCATGTATTGATCGGATTCTGTGAAAAAACTGGACATAACTGGATAATTTAATGTTTATATGCCCATTTAAAGCTTTGTAAAGGAATAAAAGATCGAACAAAAACCTCTTTTATTCTAAGGATAGCAAGTTGAGCGTTTCTCTTCGTTGCTGGTGTTCATCAGTGGTTTTCAGCATAAGTTTAGTTGCTCGACGCTGAATTCGTTCCAACTTCATTACATTTTTTGCTTGATATGGGGACCACACGACAGAGCAAAAACTCTTAGAGTAGAAACATCCTTAAGTCCTCTACAAGTTCTTTTAATAAGTCCCAGGATATTATTGGCCTTTTGGTATCTTATCAATGTGATTGTTCCAAGAGAAATTGCAGTTTGCGATCAGTCCCAGATCACAGAATTCAGATATTAACTCCAGAGTGGGTTGAAACTTAGTAGTAGTAAAATGAGAGTTCTGGGACTAGGTAAATTTATTGAATACCTTCTGTGAACGTGCTCGCCATTTCACTCTCAGTCAAGAAGAGGTCCTCATTAAGCTTGAATAGATCATAGCCATCCGTCTCCTGAACGATTTCTTCTGCGAATTTAGTTTTCAGTCGATCAACAAGTGCTCTTGATACATTGTTGACGAGGAAATTGTTTGATTCACCTCTAGCTGTCAAGTCAAAGATGAATGAAAGACATCCCGGCACAAGTACTACATCATCATAAAACCTTGGAGCCGGGACTCTAAGGACTTCACCAGGAAGAACCCTATTAGGATTAAATGTTACTCGTTGAATTATGCTGTCCGCCTTGAGGGCGTTTGACGTCTTTTTTTCAAAACTTGGTTTGGTTTTTTTCACTGACTTCCTTTTAGATAGATTATATTTCAAATGGCAAAAATTTGGAGATATTGATCATACTCTTGACAAAGAAGGAAATGAAAATGATGGAAATGATGAGGACGATGGAAATACATCAGGACACTTTACCTTTAATCCTTATTACAATTCAACTTCCGGTCCCTCATGTGATCAACATAAAATGACAACTATGAATAGGGAAGGAGAGAAAGCACCAGAAGCTGCTGAAACATTTTTCATTGATGGTGATTCACTTGAAAAATGAAGAATAACTATGGTAAACTTACAACTTGAAGGAAAGTTTTCTGAACATGGTAAAAATAGTAGATCACTAAACTTAGTTGTCGGCAAAGATTGATATAGAGATAAAGTTGTTGTTGGTCCTCGAGGAAGGAAAACCCCTTTACTCAATTTAGAAGGGGTTATAAATCCACAACTTTCAAAAGAAACTTTTCAAATTTTTGGTCCATCAAGAGAGGAACTGATTGCTGAGAAAGAGAAAGAAATTAAAGGGAAACAGAGATCAATTCAAGAAATCAAGAGATTGGTGATGATGAGAACGAAAATCGAGCAACAAGAGAACGAGCGTGAGAAAAGGTGGTTGAGGAAATAAAACAGTTTGATTCACTTTAGAATGAGAGAAGAGAACTTGAAGGCACTTCGCTAAGAGAGAGTGAGAAACATCTTCAAGAAGTGTGGATTCACAGTCTCAGCTGTTGCACTCGCAGTCGGAACAAAGTGGAGTGGTTGTGAGTGCACTGACAAAAGGTCTTAAGTTTGTTGTCAAAGGAGTTGGAAATGGTTTTAAGACTCTTGGAAGTAAGGTCGCGGGAATTCTCCAAGGTCTCATTGGTTCAATAGTCAGCTTCATTTTCAAGACCGCTGGATAAGTGATCAGCTTCCTCGGTGAAAATGCACGGATTCTGATAATGGAAGTTGTTATATTCATGGTTGAGCGCTTTCAGAAGAACAAGCGATGAATCAAGAATGCATATACCATTCCAGCTGAAATCAATTCAACCTTAATGATGTCATGATTTGTTTCACCTATTGGTTGTGGTGTCTTTACCTGAACTTCAGTTGAAGTCTTGTCAATTGGATTTGAAAGGTGAGAGGTCGGTCTTTTGATCTTTGATGATCCCCCATCTATCTGCTTAACTTCGACTGATCCCATCTCCAAATTCACTGATTTGTTGACTCCCAGCAGTTGTCCTCTTCAGGCTGTTATCATACCCCACCGTACTCTAAGTGGATTCCACAATCTTTTACCGCTTCTTTTAGTGAGTCATAGACCTTGCAAAACCCTATTTCATCACTTAATTCAACTTTCCGTCTCTCGTCCAAAGGACGGCAGCCGAGCATTGCTTTCAATTCCTTGCTTGGAATCTTGTTTCTGTATTATATTCCACAGCCTCTGGCAACCTCCCAAATTCTTTTGTGTATATTGGAATTAAATTCGTTTCCATTTTATTAATATGTACGAAAATTTTAAAATATGATACAAAAAATGTAATATACAAAATGGAGAACATAAATATTCCAGAATTAAGAACTGAGGCAAAACGGCTCGGACTCAAAAGATATCAAGACTTAGAAAGCAGGAATTGATTCAGTTGATCGGCTCCGCTGGCCAACTTCTTGATCAGCCAGTTCCAGAAATTGATGCGCCACTTCTAACGCCATCAAAATATGTCCCTCGCCCTAAGACCCCGAGTTGAAGCCAAAGAAGAAAGAAGAATGGAAATCAGAGAAATCGAGGAGATGCTTAGATTGAGAAGGTCTACTTCAGAGGACGTAGCCAGCGGAACTGAATTTAATGAGTTTGTTAAAAATGACAAAACTCATCAGTTTGAAATTCGCGAGTTGGCAAGCGCGTTAAGCGGTTTCATTAAACAATTTAGAGTCGAAGGAATTGAAGCTTTTGGATGGAGAGAGTTCATGGAAAAAGTCAAACCAGAAGTCGTGAGGATAATGAAAGAGAATCGTCAAATGAAAGTTCTGAAGAATTTTTCGAGTGAGATGGAGAGAGATTCAGAGTTCAGAATTTTGATGAAAGAGGAAGCCACTGGAGATTTCAGAGAGTGATATCACTTCACATCCATCTTGCGGAATACAAACCGTTTAACGGTAGATCTTACATCAAACTCCCAGATTCTTTTCAAAGGAAGAAAGAAGTATTAAATATCAAGAACAAGGATAATAATTGCTTCCAGTGGTGTATAGCAAGAGTACTTAATCCTAACAAGTTACACCCTGAGCGGATTTCAGACTTGAGAGGAAAGACAAACCAAGTGAATTTCACA